TWACTATTTTAAGACTTGAGATGAAATTTGTTGTGAAGAAGCTAAGGATGACCACATGCCGATTGCCAATGCTATTGCCAAATCAAGCTAACCACTATGGCTAATGCTAATTTTACAAAGGGCTATAATTCAGTCATTTTTAAACACACAGCTGAATATTTATACAGGACAGGAGTATCAGGGAACAATCTTTGACAACAGCTAAATGCACACACAAAATCTAAGATCCCCACCCACTTGTCAGTTATTTGGTGGTGGCACCTGGGGTGACCAACCAGGTGCCTCTGGCTCCGCCCCTGATTGATATATAAGTGAGGTATAAGAATGGAAATATTAAATTAAAACACTTTCWTGTTTTGTATCCTATCTGTTTTTTCTGTTGTCTTATTTTACTCCTGTCCTTCCCTCAGGGGTGAACTCCTTCCTGGTCTACCTGGCGTATAAGGATGTTTTCCAGCTCACTGATGCTCAGGTTTGGCTATTCTCCTTTTCTTTTTATTTAGATTAGCCACATTTTGATAATGTTAGCATCTGCTTTAGATTTCGTCTTGTATTCCATCGTCAGGTCTGCTTGTTTCAATTTTAACAACTTGGTTTGGTAATTCAGCGCTCAGCGTTCCCACCCTCTTRCATCCGTGTCGTTGTCTTTGTCGCAGGCGTATGAGGTGTTCAGCGTGATCCGAGACCTGGGAGCCGTCGCTCAGGTTCACGCCGAGAACGGAGACATCGTCGCTGAGGTACGACCCGTCGAACGGCATGAAAAATTAACATTAGATGGAATAAACAGCTGGTCTCAGAGGGCAAACGCAGCTGCTAATTCTGGTGGTAAYTAAAGCTGTCTGCTTCACAGTAATGTGTTATATTTTATATTTATGCTTGACGTCATGTTGAAAAGTAAGTGCATGTCGCTTATAGGTTTGTGTGTCAACCATTTTTGTTGAGAAAAATTTTCTTTATTCAAAAGATTTTGTGTCTAATAAAGTAGGTGAGCAGCTTAGGCATGCTAGTTGCTAAGCTTTTCCAATGCTAATGTCAGCTTATCCATGCTAGTTGCTTCTCCAATTGTAACACCAATTTATCCATGCTAGTTGCTAGCTTCTCCATTGCTAATGTCAGCTTATCCATGCTAGTCGCTAGCCTCTCCAATGCTAACTTCTGCTTATCCATGCTAGTCGCTAGCCTCTCCAATGCTAA